TAACAGACTGCATCTTATTTCCCTACACATTTGCTTTCTTTTGAGAGTGTAAGCAACTTGTGGGAAGAGAATGTGTCCCCAGCCAAGTCTGGCACACAGTAGGCCCTCAATAATGTTTATTAAATGATAAATCAATGCCTAAGTCATTTTTAAAAAGAAAAAAAAGAAAAATTAACTCAAGGGGTAATTTTTTGTCTTGTCTTGCCATATACCCTTTCTTTCTACTCTCCCATATATAACTTTAAAATATCCTTGAAAACTCAAAGTGTTTCAGTGTTTATACCGTGACCAACAGAGTTCTATCTGGTTCTGCTCTAGAGAGCCAAGAGCAACAAACCATGAAGAAGCAGAAACAACTACACATTCCACCAGTAATTTCAGAGGCAGTCTGAATACATTCCATCAAGGATTCCCACTATGCACCTTCAGAGATGTTTAAATGGGATTCAGGAGATGGTAAGGACAAAAAACCTAATAAATCTCTGGTGTCCTGAGAATTTTCAAATGTTAATGTTTCAAATTCTGGGTAGCACATACAAGTGTTTGCTATATTCTTTGTACTCTCCTGTACTTTACGTTGTTTACTAATACCAACAAAAAAGTAATTCTTAGGATTGTGGACCTATTAGAGAAGTAGAGAATAAAGAATTTCTGATATAAATTTACTACTGAAGTCTGACCACCTTGATTTACCAAGGAATTGTCCTTTAGGGCACAAATATGGAAAACTCCTTTTTGTTTCTTCTTATTAGGTGTGATGATGTAGTGCCAAGGATGGCCTCCAATCTGAAAAGCATTCTCCAGGGAGGACACCTCAAAGAGCAGTGGTGGTGTATCTGCAGAGATGGACAAAAGGAATGTATTAGCTTCTTTATTCTGGTAGCCTTGGAACATTCATTAACTGAACTCAACCTTTGCACGCATCATCTATGAACTTCCACTACTGAAAAATTACTATGTTCAAGGAAAGAAAATACAATCAGGAAAGAGGCTTATTGCTTATTTCTATAGTCTTAAGAAAAGAAAAATCTGATAGGAAACTGTTAGGTTATGAGTCAACTTTCTAGACATCCGTTTTCAGGATATGTGTGACATGCAGCTGGATGAAGATAAAAAATGGGCTGAAGGTGCTTATGATGGCAAAAATGACAAAGTATACCTAACAAAAGCAGCTGCCATTTAATAAGCACCGGCTATCTACAAGGCTTGGTTAGATACTATTTCCATCTCTCGTAATAATCCAACAATGTATTAGGTCTAATACTTCCTTCAAATGTGAGGAAGAGAACCTTCATATTCTAGACTAACAGGTTGTATTTGGCAAACTTTACAAAAGAAGTGTTGCTTAAGATTTCCACTTCTGAAATAATGAAAAGTAACCACTTAGGATGGGTCCTGTTACTGTGGAAGCTTTATCAAAGGATAGCCACTACTACTAGTATAATCATTAGACAAGTTAATTTTAAGGTAGTTTAGATACATCCAGTCAGTCACTGTCTGTTGGAGACTGACAACACAAAAGAACTATCTGTTAGTGCTTCCTAGTCGTCTTCTTTGATGACAATTAATTTTATATAGAGCATAACAGACTTACTTTTGGAGACATGTATAAATGGAAGGTAGTGCTGCTTATGAAGACCAGAATTCCTTTGGGGCAGCCCTTATGAAATACCACATGGTCTGTTTGTGAAGGTGACTAATCAGAGTCCTTTGTTTATGCCTCTAACTTGAGAGGTTTAATCTTTGGCTTATGAGGCCACCACTGTCAGTAAAGGGACTTGTCTTAGGGAGACCATTCACTCAAAAAAAATCACATGTTCCATATAGAAGTGTGTGCCTTGTTAGGTTTCTTCATAAGGGCAATTTACTACTTAAAGCTATACAAAGGAGAACAACAAATAATGAAAAGTGAGTTTACAAACTGACAATCTTGAGGAGAAAGAAGAGATAGGTATACACATATCAAGTATATTTAAAGTACCTTTTTTTTTAAACCTTTTAAGAGAAGGGTAATATTCTTAATATATAAAGAAATCTTTTTTAAGTAATAAGAAAATGATGGACACCCCAATAGAGAAATGGGCAAAGGACATCAATCGGTAAATTTTGAAAGATACATAAACATCATGTGTGATAATATGGTGGCTACCAAATGATGGTGGATGAGGAAAAGAAGATTTATAAAGAGAAAAAAATACAATTAGAGTTTGAATTTGGGGTTAAAAATTTAAGTAGGTAGGTTGTAGAGAATATAAAATAGGAATTCAAAATAGGAAAAAAAAATCAATGCAAAAAGACGTATTTAAAAAGAAATACTTTTCCCAGCAGTTGCTAAAAATAGCCCAAAAGCACAGCATGACTCTGCTCACCACAACCCTGGTGGGTCCCCATTAGCCCCAAGAGCCCAAATTTTGATCTCTAATACTATTCTCAATTGAAAGGGCCTAGGAGTTCTCAGAGAATGGCTGATTCCATGTCTTGTGATGAGGAAATTTTAGGATCATTAATAATTACAGGAACATTCTTATACTATTCATAATCACAGAAAATTAAAAACAACCTAAATGTCCATTGTAAACTGGTTAAATAAATTTACAGTTCATGCGTTTAACGGTACCTAAGTCGAGATCTTAAAACATTGATGAGCTTAGCATGTGCACATATATACACAGGACCACTCTTTGGCAAAGGTAATATAAGTACTGCATTCAAAAGGCATCAGAAGAAATATAATGAAAACTAAGTTTTCCTTCCATCTGTATCCCTCAAAGATAACTACTATTGATCAGTTTTCTGTGTGCCCTTCCAGATATTTCAAGCAATCCTAAAGGCATATACTCATATATCTATACTTTTAATATATGCATATGAATACTTAACACAAATGAGGTTTTTTATATACATAGTTTTGCACTCCTTTTTTTACTTACTAATATATATTGGAAACTTCTCTATACTAGTGCAAAAAGAATTCCTGTTTCTTTTTAACAATTAAGTTTATGACATAGCCAAACAATCAAAGAATACTAATGTCACCTATCAAAGTATCAATATACATTGTTTCCAATCTTTTACTGTTAGAAACAATGTTGTAACTGTACATTTGTCATTTTGTACACATGTGAATGTATCTGGGATAAATTCCTAAAAATGGAATTGCTCAAGGAATATATGCATTTAAAATTTTGAAACATACTGACAAATTGTCCTCTGCAAGGGACTCCAATAATAAATGAAAGTGCCTCTTCTATACTCTCACCAACCCTGTTACCTAACTTTTTGATATTTGAGAATCTGAAAAGAAGTATCTTATGATAGTGTTAACTTGTGCTTCTCTTATCAGTGACGTTGGGCTTTATCCTCCCCAAATTAAGTCATTTATATTTCCTCTTCTTCTGAACAATATCCTTTGCTCATTTTGTTGTTGTTGTTGTAGTCACTTCTTCTTACTGGTCTGTAGAACTCATATATAAGGAGGAAATTACCCCTTTACAGTGTATGTTGCAAATATTTCCCCTGTTCGTTGTTTGATTTTTGAGTTGGTTTATGTGTGTGCTTGTTTTTTACCTTGCAGCACTTTATTTTTAAGTAGCCAAATTTATCAATCCTTTCTTTAATGGCTCTGTGTTTGCGTCAGAAAGCTCTTCTCAACTCTGAGATAAAAAGATTCTCTAAGTTTTCTTATAGAACTTTAAATCTTTGATCCATCTATTATTTCTTTTGATGTAAAGAGTAAGATAGAACTCCGACTTTGTTTTCATAAGACCATCTATTAAATAATCTAGATGGAAATTAATATTTGTAATATATTAACATTTAAAAGTGGGTTAGGCTACAGATATATGCAATAATATGCAATGAATCTCAAAAATAATATGGTGAGTGAAAGAAGCCAGACAAAAAAGTACATATCATATGCTTCCATTTATACGAAACTCTAGAAAACTACAGTGAAAGAAAGCAGGTTCATTGGTTGCCTAAGCCTGGGGATGGGGAGGGAATTGACTGGAAAGGGCACAGGGGAACATTTTGGAGTGATGAAAAGATTTTAAATCTTGATTGTAGTAGTGGTTTCATAGATATAAACATTTGGCAAAACTCAAATTGTACAGTTAAAATGAGGGCATTTAAGTGCATGTAAATTATACTTTGAGTTGTTTTTTTAATTATTTTATTTTATTTTAATCATTTTATTATTTCTTTTCTTTTCTCTGTTTTTGGCTGCACCATGTGGCTTGTGGGATTTTAGTTCCCTGATCAGGGATAGAACCTGGGCCCCCAGCAGTGGAAGCACAGAGTCCTAACCACTGGACCACCAGGGAATTGCCATTATTTCATTTAATTAATTAATTAAATTAATTAATTATTTTTTTAAAAAGCAAGTTATGAAGGAGTATTCACAGTATGATTCTTTTTTGGTTTCAGACATATATACATTACAAGATTACCAAAAAACACACTGAGGTGATAACAGTTAATTCCATGCAGGAGGACTATGAGTATTTCAAACTTTCTCTATTTTATCATTATTTCCTAATTCTTCTGTAATGAAAATGAATTGCTTTGCATTTTTTTTTTTTTTTTTTTTTTGCTGTTTGCGGGCCTCTCACTGTTGTGGCCTCTCCCGTTGTGAAGCACAGGCTCCGGACGCGCAGGCTCAGCAGCCACGGCTCACGGGCCCAGCTGCTCCGCGGCATGTGGGATCTTCCCAGGCCGGGACACGAACCCGCGTCCCCTGCATCAGCAGGCGGACTCTCAACCACTGCGCCATCAGGGAAGCCCGCTTTGCATTTTTAAAAAAAATTATTTACAGTTAAAAGGAATATTATTTTGTACAGAGCTTAATGATCCTGAAAAACAAATCTGTAGAAATGAATACGATTTCAGTCAATATAATCTGAAAAACTACTCAAAGTTTCCAACATAGTATGCTACTTTTCTAAGCTAAATGTCCAACAATCGCTGATTGTTTTACAATGGAATGTGATTTCACAGATATTTTCAAATGTTATTATTTTAAAGTTGATAAAAGTGAGGCCCAGAGAGGTTAAGTAATTTGCTCACTATCATAACCACCAGTTAGTAGTGGAATTTCACTCTTACTAGTAGCAGACCAAGATTGTGATCCCAAATCTAGTCTTCTCTCTACAAACAGGGACCAAAATCACAGCACAATCAAAGGCTCTATGAGCTTTCTTTATCACCCTGTTCTTTGCTTTATTTGCTTACTATCTGCATTTCAATGAGAACAATGTACCATTTGGGGAAACTCTCTTCAATATAATACATTGTAGTTACTACTGGAGCCTGTAGTTTTAAAATTCTTAATAGATTCCTGCTAGCGTATTTGTATAAAATATAGGAGGTATTGCTGAGGCTGAGTTATCACAGAACTGCCTAATTCAGCTTGTCCAAGACATCTAAAACCCCGAGTAATTTTTAGAATATTTATTTTGAGTTTCTTGAATAATGGCTATACTGGACTCTCTGTTTTTATAGTCTGTCATTTACTAATAAAAAGAACATCTCCTTTCTCACAATTAAATCTTTCATTTGTTTCTTGATCTGTTGATGATGTAATGTTAAATAGTAATAATAGAAAAAAATTACTGCCTTATTTTGACCCATGTTAGAAAAACCTTTGGAGTTTCACCTAAATATGTGATGTTTATTGGTTAGAAGTAAAAGGAAATGTCCTCAATATGACAAAGAATGATTCTTTTTTTTAAAAAAATTATTTATTTAAATTTATTTGGTTGCCCCAGGTCTTAATTGCGGCAGGTGGACTCCTTAGTTGTGGCATGTGGGCTCCTTAGTTGTGGCATGCAAACTCTTAGTTACAGCATGCATGTGGGATCTAGTTCCCTGACCAGGGATCAAACCTGGGCACCCTGTGTTGGGAGCCTGGAGTCTTAACCACTGTGCCACCAGGGAAGTCCCAAGAATGATTCTTAATGAACCAAGACTAAAGATAAACAAATATTAGGATAACAAAATATATTATCTTTTTAAATTTATTCCTATCAGTTTTACATCTGTCTGCATTAAATAATTCTTGTATTGCTGAGATGAACTCTGGTCAGTCATGGTTTATCTAACACACATTGCTCAATTTGAGTAGCAGTTCATTTCCTTTTAATAAACTGCTGAATTTGATAAGCTAATTAAACATAGAACATTTTTATTATATTTATAAAATTATGTATCATTTTTTGTGCTTTGTTGATCTTTAAGTTGGGTAAATTTCACAGAACTGTAAAATTTTAAGTTATAAAGGAACTAAGATGGTATCATTTGCTGCAACTTATTATTCTGCAGATAAGGAAATCACAACCAGAAAGGTAAAAGTAACTTGCCAAAGGTAACAGATCTCTGGCTAAGCAAGGTCCAGCATCCCCAGGCCTTTATGTAAATGAATAACAGATTTTTGTGAATGCCTACTCAAAAGCAAAGAATACTCTGCATAGGAATAAAATGAATTAATTTATAATTAAATCATGCAAAAAACATTTGGATGATTACAATTAATAACTATTAATATGACCACTTAATTTTTAAGGTGAAGAAAGTACTATATAGTAGCCATACCTGTGATTTTAATATTACAAGGAATGCCAAAAGGAGCCTCTCCTACAGTTCCAGTAGTCCCACCCCATCTGCATGCACACCCTAAGTCAAGTTTCTGTTGCATGAACTAAAAACAAAACAAAACAAAAATGGTGGCTTTAGCTCCTACTTATTTGCTGTCTGGAGAGAGAAAAATGTCAAATTCACATGTATATGACAGAGGAAATGTCTTTATTTATTCAGGGGCCTGTTTATCTTCCCACCCCTCTTTTAAAGGTTACTTTGTCTTTCTGCATTTGTACAGTTTTGTAGAGGTGAAATCTACACAGTGCCTTACTTTAAAAACATCTCATTAAAAAATTCTTACCTCAGTCCTACCAAGGGGGGAAAGTGGCAAGGGTGGTGGTGGTGGTGGTGTGATGAATTGGGAGATTGAGATTGACATGAATACACTAATATGTATTAAATGGATAACTAATAAGAACCTGCTGTATAAAAAAATAAATAAAATAAAATTCAAAAAAAAATTCATACCTCAGTCCAAATCTCAAGTTAATTTCAATATGGCAAATTTCAGTTTTCTCTACCTGTTCAGTGATGGCTTGGAAGCTATAAAGTCTGACCAGTCCCGAGCTGTACATCACAATCAGTATTCCATGAGACAAGGTGGCATCTGTTACGCTCCCGAAAATCTGAGGGGAAAGGTAGATATCACCTGAGAAAAGACCAGAAGGCCAATCCTCTGAGTTTCACAGTGGGTTGTGCATCTGTTTAATATTCAGGCCACCACTACAACACTGCTGCCTAACATTATAACTTAATTATAATTTAGAAACTGGAAGCTAAGGTGTTATTAGGGTAGAGTGGCAAGCCACTGGGGTCTCAAACTGAAGCACTAATGGGAGTGTAAGACATACCCCTCAAAATGATGCAGCAGCATACATTTGCTTCACAGTTTTGTCAATGTCTTTTAATAACAAATCCTCTTCCTCATGGACATAGGTGTAAACTGAGTCCATTTAATTCTACCATGCAGAATATGCACAGCAGAATAAATACAGGGACCTATTCTTCATAAAATGTTATTTATAAAGGGACATTTTTTAGCTGGAGGTGAAAAGATTGGGTCTAAGAAAGTAATTCTAATAAAAAATAGCCAACTCGAGAATTTTATCATTACCTTGTTCTTTAAATATCTAATACTGTTAAAACCAAACATGTTAAAAACCAAATACATCCGGAAACATTTAGCCTAGCTGACCTTGAGAAGCTTTGGCTCATTCTTCCCTTTCTGTCTCTGTTCTATGCACTGGATCCTGTCATGATGCTCCACAGAGCTCTAAAAAGAACTTGATTCTGTGCCTATTTTAATATTTAACAAAAGCCAACTAACATAAACAAATATTCATAGCAATGAAAGAACAAGTACCCCCGCTTGCCACAACTAGAGAAAGCCTGCATGCAGCAATGAAGACCCAACGCAGCCAAAAATAAATAAATAAATAAGAAAGAACAAGTAGAAATTCAGTGAAAATCTGTTTCTGTTTCTACTCAAGACAAATCATTTAGTAAAGATTTACTACCCCAACAAACAGCTTAAAGTACATTCTGAGCCTGGCCTGTAGGTAGTCTTATTATGCATGGTAAGTGAAAGATATACTTCAATTTCAAATAACTGTAATCAAAATCAAATCCCTCAAATGATTATCTCGAACATGTAAGAATAAATAGAAACAATTTATGACTTTGCTAAGTGTTCATTCCTATTGTAGACTGTAATAAGTATACACAATTACTTAATCCACAAGCACAAAGAGAACAATTACACTTATGAGCTGTGTTTTTTGTCATCTCTTGAAAGGATAATCATGGTTTGCTTTGCTCTTGACTAGCCTATGACTTTTTATTCCCTGATCCTCATTCCCCAATTTGAAAGGAGGATTTGTTTAATTCAAATGTATTTTCAAATGATGAGTGCTATAATAAAGTAGCCACTCTTATTTTAAAATTTGGTTTAAACTCTGGAGTCAAATCTAAGTTCAAATTCCAGCTTCTCCATTTACTACCTTTAGGATTTTGGTAGCTGCTTAACCTCCTAGTTAAATACTTTATATGTTACACTATTATTATATGTCGTAAAATATTCAAAGTGCCTGATACAAAATGAACAATTAATGAATAATTAATTCTTTAGTCTTTATGCAGTTTAGTATATTATGCTTATATAAAATTTTTAAAATACATTCATCTTGTTTGCTTATAAGTATTAGTGGACCCTCAAGACCTGGCCTCAATAATGCTTCAGGTGCTTAATTAAAGACTAGTAGAATAGACCAATAAATAACTATTCACCCAAACTAAGTAACAATTTTTTTAAAGGAAACTAGTAAACTATTGATTCTTTTACTCAGAGGAAATATGTCCTTTCTTTCTTCCCAAATAATCACCCCACAAATCAAGAACAATGGCAACAACAATAAAACCCAACACTGGGCTTCCCTGGTGGCGCAGTGGTTGAGAGTCCGCCTGCCGATGCAGGGGACATGGGTTCGTGCCCCAGTCCGGGAAGATCCCACATGCCACGGAGCGGCTAGGCCTGTGAGCCATGACGGCTGAGCCTGTGCGTCCGGAGCCTGCGCTCCGCAATGGGAGAGGCCACAACAGTGAGAGGCCCATGTACCGCAAAAAATAAAAACAAAACCCAACACTGAATGAGTTGAAGAACTTACATATTTAATTATAAGACTTGTTTATATACCATAAAACAAGTTTTAGATCTATACTTTGCAATTAAAATGAGGCACTTTGTTGCAGCTTTTTACCTTTGTTTATGATCATTTTTAACAAGCTTTGGAATATTCCCAATGAAAAAAATATTTTACTCATTTCATAATTTTATAGAACAGTGGTTTGTTAATGACTGGTACTCAACACTATCCACTTGAGAAGCATAAAAACATGCAGAAAGGGACTTCCTCGGTGGCGCAGTGATTAAGAATCCTCCTGCCAATGAGGCAGACACAGGTTCGATCCTTGGTCCGGGAAGATCCCACATGCCGTGAAGCAACTAAGCTCATGCGCCACAGCTACTGAGCCTGTGCTCTAGAGCCTGCGCGCCAAAACAACTGAGCCCACGTGCCACAACTACTGAAGCCCACGTGCCTAGGCCCGTGCTCCACAAGAGAAGCCACCGCAATGAGAAGCCCACACACTGCAATGAAGAGTAGCCCCCAACACAACTAGAGAAAGCCCATGCGCAGCGATGAAGACCCAAAGCAGCCAAGAATAACTAACTAACTAACTAAATAAATAAATAAACATGTAGAAAGATGAAGGGACTATTAGACTCTCTTCCCACATCAAATGTTCTCATGTATTTTGATATGAAATAAACTAAATCAGCAAGCTTTGTATAGTCAAGGGAACATTTCCAATCCAAACGCCTAATAAATAATTAAACAATGATATTACACCTTATTGTCAAAAAATTAGTATTACAATTAAATCAGAAATGAGTTCCTACCTTTTTGTTGATCTCCAGAATCCCTATGAGTGAAAAAGGTAGCACATGGAACACTGCAAGGTACAGCAAAACAGGCTGTTGAATGCCTGCCTAAAAGGAAAGACTAAAATCATAGGCAGCTCTCAAGAGTATTTTAAAACTGCTGTTTTCCTAGTGGTTACCAGTGGGGAAAGGGAAGTGGGGGAGGGGCAATATAGGGGTATGGGATTACGAGGTACAAACTATTATGTATAAGACAAACTACAAGGATATATTGTACAACATGGGGAATAAAGCCAATATTTTATAAGAACTATAAATGGAGTATAACCTTTACAAATCATGAACCACTATACTGTACATCTATAACACATATCGTACATCAACTATACTTCTATAAAAAGGTTTTTTAATTAAAAAAATAAAAACACTGTTTTCATGAATTAAAAACATTCCTCTATCTATATTGCAAAGTTACTTAAACAGGAAGGCCTGCATGTTCAAAATATGTCCACTAAGCCTTTAGCCCTTCAGATGCTACAAACTGCATATACACACAAAAATCTATAGAAGTAAGCATAACAGTAAACGTTTCTTAACAACAAAATATATTTTACAAAAACATACTTTATATACTGCATAACAAAATATATTTATATACTATATAATAGATTATAATATAAATTAATATATTGTATTATATTATTATACAACATAATTTATATTGTGAATTGGAATTCTAATAATCAAGGGCCTAATCAAAAGACACAGAGTTATCATGGTCATATCATTTAGCATTACAAAACAGTATTACACTAACATGAGAAAATAGAAATAGAAAAAAGTATCAACAATTAAAACTCGAGTGATTTCTCTGCTTGAAGAAGATAGCTCCTTTACTCTGAAGAACAAGGTTCAAATTTCTTTCCGTTATGGAATATAAAATAATCTGTGGTATTTCCCCAGAGTGGCTTGAAGGGAATTGCCTAAATTTGTGGTAAACAACTTTTATAGCATGCTTCAGAAATCAAAGATAATTAGTTCTTTCATAACAAATTTTCAGACAAATTCCTCTGGAAACAAATTCTTTATTTTATTGAATGTTTAAAGATGTCTACCTGCTGGGCCAATGCTGAGCCTTTGCTCTGAGCTGACTTGACTGCAATGACTTCTTGAGGAGTGTCCCAGCTCAAATATCTTTTAAAAGAATAAAAAGAAATTTATTCATTTGGGTCAATTTCCTTATACTTAAAATAAAAATATAATAGATATTTTATAAGTGAACAGTTTTTCAGTTACTTAAATTATAAAAGCAAAGCAGTTTATTTTAAAAACAAATAACTAATTAAAAGAATTCCCTTCGATCCTTATATGTATTTATTCCTATTTTTAAATATATATATATAATTTTAATCCTTCTAGAGTCTCAGTGAATAAAAATTATGTTTGATCTGTCAGTATTCAAAACTTAGAAAACAAAAAACCATTCCTGATTTAAAATGGAAGTTACAAAGAGCACTGAAAATGTTACATTCACATTTTGCATGCACATATTCATTCCAAAAATTTATATCTAATTTATAAAATTACTAGTTAAAAATTAACAGTTCTTAAGATTATATTACGTAGGTAATTTAACCGCAACAGACCAGCCTTCAGAAAAATCTACCATAAAATACATCCTACATATAAAATACTATTTGTAAAAAGTAAATTTTTTTAAGGGTATCTGCCAACTATTAGAGGTTAGTTACTTATGAGGAATAAAAGATAAATGATAAAGGGTCTCCATCCTCAGATCTTCAAAAGTAGTCATGAGAAGAGAAAAATAGAATAGGTTTTTAAACTGAGATCTATGTATACAATGGAAAACTTAAAAAAAAAAATCTTGAAATATCCTGGGCCTCAAGTCTCAATTTTTCATAATAAAATTTTAAATAACAAAGTCACATTTAGTACCTGAATTTGCAATATGAAGCAAGATATATTTTCTCAAGGACTTTTCCTGTAGTTGCTGATATACGAAGTAGCCAATTATGAGCAGTCAGTGCTATGAGTGAAGATTTATAATCTGATGTATTGGGAAGCATTTCTCCCTTAAAAAAAAAATGAGGTATAAAACTGAAACTCCATGGTCATAAACAATCTGCAGTAATTCATATCCAAAGAAAACAGCTAAACACTTAAAGTAGTAGTCAAATAAGTAAATTAAAAAAACTATTAATGCACAAATAAAGAATTAAGACAAGGAAAGATTAAAATCGTGAATAATTATTTTCATCATTAATTTATTGAGTTTGTTCACATGGAGTGCTTCAACAGTACCTGAAATAACTGATTACTTATTAAGTATTAATCATTAAGCATTCAACAAATGTTAGCCAATCATTATCATAATAACAACAGTAATAGGCGTACTACTGATGCTTCTGTGATAACAATAGCAACAATAACAGTTTTTTGGGGTTTTTTTTGGCGGTACGCGGGCCTCTCACTGCTGTGGCCTCTCCCGTTGCGGAGCACAGGCTCCGGACGCGCAGGCTCAGCAGCCATGGCTCACGGGCCCAGCCTCTCCATGGCATGTGGGATCTTCCTGGACCGGGGCACGATCCCGTCTCCCTTGCATCGGCGGGCGGACTCTCAACCACTGTGCCACCAGGGAAGCCCCAATAACAGTTCTTAAAACCATGTATAACAGCATAAGCAATTAAGAGTCATCTGCTAGAATAGATGTTTCTTTATTCCAAGACTTGTTTTCCTTTTGATAGAAGTTAAAATGGCAAAAGAGCAAATTATCCCATTAGTCACTGTGGCTCTACTCTAACCTCAAATGAAAAGCTAAAATCCAGAATCAAGGCAGCCAAAGAAGAAAAGAGTCAGACCTAATTTTAAAGAGAACCTCTGTCTCCAATGGATTACCCCCAACAAAGGGAGAGGACAGCTGCTTGGGCGTACCTGCCACTGAGGAGTTGCCATAAGGTGGAAGACTAAGGCAGAAAGAGAAAGAGAAGCCAAAGGTTCTACTTTGATTTATAGAATAAAAAGGATGTCCTAAGGGGAAAGTTAAGAATAAGGAAGTTGAAATTACTCTTATATTGCTTGGGCTGAAGAGTGAATAGAAAAGAATGTAAGTGTAGTTATTTTATTTATACTCCTAAGGTTTGTCTCCCCTTTCAAATGTTAGGGAAAGAAACAAGGTTTTTTTGTTTGTTTCTTGGGGTGTGTGTGTTTAAGCTTATTAGCTACTGAAGTCTTACACTAAAATCACAGGCAATGATGTAAATATTTTTATTCTTTGGTGTCTTACATAAGTATCACCTCATGGAGTTTTTAAAGTTTTAAAAAATGTACCATTTATACCTTGCCTACTTAAAAAAACAAGGATTAAGTAGCATACATAATAGGTTCAAGCTATTTTCCTAAACTAAAAGTTGTATTTCACACATAATCTCAGAGAAGAAGGGTGCTAGTTTAAATGTAGTTTCACATCAGTATGTTAATACAATATGGTTTGTAGTTTTTCTTAGTGGAAAATCTTGCTCCACTTCAAATAAGAATAAAATGTTTAAAGAGAATTGAGATTAGGAATTAGGTTACTAGAAACTTTATTTTTGCAGGATTTTTGCAGGATTGCTCTAAATTTTTGGTGTTCTGCACTGGGGTCTTCAAAATTTTTCTCAGTTAGGAAATCTGTCATCCTCTTCCCCTCACCAATGAGACTGGATTAAAAGGTTTTAGATGTGGGGACACAATAGTTATTTTTAACTTTCAATAAGGAGTTGGGGAAGAGAGCGTAGATTTAAAGCTTCCTGATTTTTAAAAAGGAGACTTCTATGAAAAGAAAGCAACTGTCCAGGGAAAAAGAAAGCAGCAGCTCTAGAAAACTACAATTTTATGTAAAAACAAGTGTTTAAAAAAAAAAAGGAATTTTAATAATAAATGCAAAGCATAGTCTCCTAACCTTTAAACATTATTTTTGGTCACATATTCTATTTTTCCTAAAAAACAAACAGCCAGATTCAGAGACCTGATTAGTTTGCTGCAGTACTATTTTTCTTTCTTTTTTTTTTTGGCCACACCACGCATCATGCGGGATCTTAGTTCCCTGACCAGGGGTCAAACCCATGCCCCCTGCAGTAGTAGCGAGGAGTCTTAACCACTGGACCACCAGGGAAGCCCCTGTTGCAGTACTTTTTTTTTTTAAACATCTTTATTGCAGTATAATTGCTTTACAATGGTGTGTTAGTTGCTGCTGTAAAACCAAGTGAATCAGCTATATGTATACATATATCCCCATATCTCCTCCCTCTTGCGTCTCCCTCCGCATCCCTCTAGGTGGACACAAAGCACTGAGCTGATCTCCCTGTGCTTATGTGGCTGCTTCCCACTAGCTAGCTATTTTACATTTGGTAGTGTATATATGTCCATGCCACTCTCTCACTTCGTCCAGCCTACCCTTCCCCCTCCCTGTGTCCTCAAGTCCATTCTCTATGTCTGTGTCTTTATTCCTGTCCTGCTCCTAGGTTCATGAGAACCTTATTTTTTTTTTTAAGATTCCATATATATGTGTTAGCATACGGTATTTGTTTTTCCCTTTCTGATTTACTTCACCCTGTATGACAGTCTCTAGGTCCATCTACCTCACTACAAATAACTCAGTTTCGTTTCTTTTTATGGCTGAGTAATATTCCATTGTATATATGTGTTGCAGCACTTCTTAAGTGTTTCTTAGAACACTGATCCTATGGAAAATTAATATTTAAAAATATATCTCAAGGGCTTTCCTGGTGGCGCAGTGGTTGAGAGTCCGCCTGCCGATGCAAGGGAGATGGGTTCGTGCCCCGGTCCGGGAAGATCCCACATGCCGTGGAGAGGCTGGGCCCGTGAGCCATGGCTGCCGAGCCTCTGTGTCCGGAGCCTGTGCTCTGCAATGGGAGAGGCCACAGCAGTGAGAGGCCCGCGTACCGGAAAAAAAAAAAAAAAAAAAAAA